ATAAAATTATATCATAAGGACACACAGGCTTAAGAATAAATATAAGAAATTAAATTTAATTTCTTATATTTATTCTTTTGTGTAATCTCAAGTACTTTTTGAGCTTTTAAAGAGGCTCATCATCAGAATCAATACCTAATTAGAATGCTCTTAGATTCCAATTTGTTAAAACTTGAGAATGCACCTAGAGATGGAATCTTAGGGAAATTGAGAGACGACTTAAAGGCTTAGAAGAAACTAAGGAAGAGAGAATAGATGAATGATAATGAGGAAAATGAGAGGAAATAGAAAAAGGAGCAAGAAAAGGAAATAGATGAAATCAGAGAAATAAAGCAATAGTTAGAGAAGGAAAGGTTAGTTCTGATGAGAGCAGACAAATTGAAAAAGGTAGTAATAGTTAAGAGAATTATGTTAAAAGTTTGGAGGGTTGTGCAAGCAAATTGTGAAAAATCCATGAAAAGCATGGATATGTTTGAAGAAAAGACAGTTGCCTGGATCTCATAGACAACAAATACTCAGCAGTTACGACACTGATTGTTTACCTACTTAAATATTCATAAAAATTGGGGAATTTTACACCAATAATAGGGAAGTGCAGTTTTCTTACACATAAATTAGAGAAGGCCTGAATTAAAATAATAGATGAACTACAAGAAAGTAGTGACAGTTAAAAATAGTTGTGAATTTAGAAAATTACTAGAGCTTAGCATGAGTGAGGATGATAAATCACACTATCCTAGATCTAGAATTCTCGTTAGAGTACAAGACTTTGTTAGAGAATTATTGATACAGAAAGAGGAATTTAGAAATGTTAGGTTTAAGGTGGTATTGGACACATTGCATACAGTTTTCTGTATGCAATGGGTCCAATACCACCTTAAACCTGAGTCCTTAAACGAGTTTTTTAAATTTGAAGGATGGTGTTATAAGCAAAAATAAGAACTTCTAGGCTCGTCAGCAACAGGAATATTAGTGAAATCAGTGGTCAGAAAGGTACTACCAAACTACTATAGAAAATCCTTGTTAATTTGAACTTGGATAGTTTGAAATCTCATTAGTTCATAACTGTTTTTTGACCTGGCCAGGGATATAGAGATTTACATGTTAAGGAATTTGGTTAGTTCAAAATATGGCTACTTTAAAATTTGAAGTGGAAAGTCTGTCTGAACTGTGATATGCATATGTTAGCTTGTTCATTTAGATTGAAATTCCTCCATACTATAAGAAAACAATAGACCAAGAACAACTCTAATCTGGTCAATGTGGCTTTGCTTTTACAGTATCACATTTTCAGGTGTCACCTTACCCATGGACTACCTTTTTTTTCCTGTTATCTCATAAAATATGGCTGAGTTTTGGAATTGTAAGATTGAGCTATGAGTAGCAGATTGAGATATTTGTAGTCTTTAGGCTACTACATTTGGGCAACATACTACTTTTTGGACTACACTTTGAAGAATTCTGCTTTACTTTTTATAAAATCTATCTGGCANATCTCATAAAATATGGCTGAGTTTTGGAATTGCAAGATTGAGCTATGAGTAGCAGATTGAGATATTTGTAGTCTTTAGGCTACTACATTTGGGCAACATACTACTTTTTGGACTACACTTTGAAGAATTCTGCTTTACTTTTTATAAAATCTATCTGGCAGCCTGTGAGATTCTCACTGGATACATCCTGTTAACTTTTGCATTATATCATTTTTATTAATATAATGAAAATAACATTGTGTATATTTATCTGTATTCCGTTTGCTTAATAAATTACATGAGTTATTGGAATTTGGCATATTGTACAGAAATACATAAATCTTCGATAATTTGAAGTTGCAATTACATCATTCTTTGAATTTTGAGTATAGTAGTAGTAATAGTAAAACATGCTAAAAATTAAAATAATAAATTAGGATGAAATAAAAGAAATAAAATATAANTTCCTACAACGTAATTTTCGGTTAGCGTGGAACGTATCTAAGCGTTATAGGGGGTCTACTGTATATCATTTTCATTAATATAATGAAAAATAACATTGTGTATATTTATCTGTATTCCGTTTGCTTAATAACTTACATGAGTTATATGGAATTTGGCATATTGTACAGAAATACATAAATCTTCGATAATTTGAAGTTGCAATTACATCATTCTTTGAATTTTGAAAGTAGTAGTAATAGTAAAACATGCTAAAAATTAAAATAACAATAAATTAGGATGAAATAAAAAGAATAAAATATAAAAAGATAAATTAAAATAATATGAAGAAAATAACAGAAAATATAAAAGAATAAAAGGTATGATAAAATTATATGAATATATANATTAATGATATAATATTATAATACTTGAAAAAATAAGAGTTAAAATGTTTACTTTGAGTTCTGAGATAAAGATCTAGAAGTCCAAGTTATAATTTAGCTAACTTTCCAGACTAATGAAAGGTTACTTAATTTATTGATTAGAAAATAAACTTTATGTAGGGAATTGCTGACTCTTTCAATTAGATAAAGAGTAGATGAAGACCATATTAGAAGGAAATAATCAATTATAGTTTGAAAATTAGTAAAAGTATTTTAAAGAATATTTGTAATTAGTTCATGTCTATATTTGTCATTATCTTTTCTTCTAGTGCAGAATGAACCAACCTGGAATGTGAATTCGATTTGCAGAAAACAAAAAAATTGAAAAAATATCCTTCTCAAACAGCCAAATGATATGCCAAATTTTTTGGCTATACTGGCGAAAATTTAAATTTGCCGACTGGAATTCTTTCGGATGATTGACTTTCGGATAATCGACGCTCTACTGTATTAGATNATGGGATGGTACACAGAGTGATATTATTAATGATATAATATTATAATACTTAAAAAAAAAAAACAGAGTTAAAATGTTTACTTTGAGTTCTGAGATAAAGATCTAGAAGTCCAAGTTGTAATCTAGCTAACTTTCCAGACTAATGAAAGGTTACTTAATTTATTGATTAGAAAATAAACTTTATGTAGGGAATTGCTGACTCTCTTAATTAGATAAAGAGTAGATGAAGACCATATTAGAAGGAAATAATCAATTATAGTTTGAAAATTAGTAAAAGTATTTTAAAGAATATTTGTAATTAGTTCATGTCTATATTTATCATTATCTTTTCTTCTAGTGCAGAATGAACCAACCTGGAATGTGAATTTGATTTGCAGAAAACAAAAAAATTGAAAAAATATCTCTCTCAAACAGCCAAATGATATGCCAAATTTTTAGGCTATGTAAAGGCTATAATTAAACATTAAAAATTAATTAATTTCACTAGAGGTAGTAGTTATGCTTCCATCTCATATTAAATTTAATAATTATAAATAAATAATTTTAATTTAGACATTTCTAAGATTTAATTTGGAATTAGTCATTAAATTTAATACGAGAGGTAGGTATAACTGCCTACCTCTAGTCAGATTAATTATTTTTTAATATTTAATTATAGCCTTTACAAATCGTTCTAGACTGCATACTGTAATATCAAAACACTTACTAAAACACCTTTTCTTGCAGCCGAATTCTTATAGCCTTTACGTAGCCCAAGAATTTGGCATATCATTAGGTGTGTTTATTATATAATGGGCTATGGTTGTTGATGTTTACATGTAATATGTCTGAACACAAGTTTGGAAAAATGTGTGATCACAAGCGACAGTAAAATGCTAGCGGAACAAGTGCTAAACAGAGACTGATGTAGCATGCACACAAACCAGGCCTTTCCCTCTCCTTGTCACTCATTATGTGAAACATCGCTCGTTAAGCAAGTAATTGTTTAACAATTTGTTTTGCTCATTATGTGAATTATTCATTGAGAGGTGCTCATTAAGAGAGGTTCCACTGTATTTAGTACACTTGCAATAATTTAGATTGCCAATAATCAATTAAACTTCTGATTATCTAGGCTAAAATTTAGAGAGAAATATGCAACACTTCACTTCCAATTTCTCACTGATATGAATTGTTACCTCTTCATTACACAAAATTCCTTATTTTGAGAAGAAATATTCAAAGTTTGATGAGAAACTGTTCTATGAACTGTTTCTCATCAAAAACAGAAAGAAACAAACAAAAATTCACTTTTTTTTTGTTTTAAAAAAAAAGGCATGATTATTATTAATTTAACTAATTCTAATGATAATTAAAACTTTTCAAATAAAATTGTACGAATATATAGCATTATTTAAAATTAATATAGACCTAATTTGTTAAGTATATTCAGGCACTTAACAGTTTGAATTACAGGCAAATACTGTTATATACACCTGAATATTTTTTACAATGTATACAACTTTAATTAGTTTGATTCATTTTAAATAATGAATTTAATGTAAATTATAATTTTTGAAAATCAGCTGTTTAAATAATTTTTAAATTTTGAAACTATAGATTTTATTTTTTTAAATAAAAGATAGCTTTCAAAATGTAAATATGTTATCAAAGATATAATAATAATAAAATATGTTTTAGCTGAAATATATAAAAATTGGAATATGGTACTTGGTTATTATCTCATTGGTAATTCAGTATTTTGTTTTATCTGACAGTGCTTGCTGTGAAATAATGAAATGAGGAAGCATTGACAGATTTATAAAATATTGATAATACAATATTATAACAAGGAAGAGAAATGAAAAATATAATTATGAAAACAATAAATAAATGATTTATCACTATTAAAAATATTCTGTATTTATTTCTGATAATATTTAGTTTTAAGCATAATTTCAGAAGCAATTATAAGTATAAATTTATAATTACTTCTGTATTTTACATTGTAGATACGTTTAAATGAAAATTCATTATGAACAGTCTACTTTTTTAATCAAGTTCAATGTTATCTAACAAATTTGCAATTTGTTAGGTAACTGTCTTTAATAATATAAAATATTGACAAACTTTTTGCAAAATTTGAGATATCTTTTTGTAAAGTATACTAAGAACATACATATTAAAAATATTTTTCTTTTTCAGTCAAATATGACATATATAAAAGAAAACAAAGACCTTGCTCTGTATTTTGTTACAAAGCATTCATGGAAGGGAAGGTAATTATGATTAATATGTACATTTACTATTTTAGTTATAAGTTTAATCAAGTTATAAAATCTAATATACATTCTGTTATGTAGCAATTAAATNTACTATATCAAATGCTTTCATACCTCAGAATGCGGGACAAATGGCTCTATTATGAGATTGCGAATTTTACCGGTTGCTCGTCCGACCTGTATATAAATAAATTTATGTTATGAGCCTTGTTCTGTAGCAATGGATAACCTTACAAAATTTCACTATGTTAATTAAAAAGCAACATTTTATCCTTATACTTCATGCTTATTGATCTCTTATGCTTGATTATTTCTCATAGTGAAATAATAGATCAATTTTACATTCTACCAAAACAAGGAAATGATTCGATACTCGATAAAAATGAATTAACGCGTGTCCTTTGCTATTGTCACGAAATATAGCGATATTGAAAAATAATATATTTTTAAATATTTTAAATTTTAAAGTTCAAAATTACAAGTGGAATGGATAACTAGTAAGAAAATCAACACCTTACATAATTTTCCAGAACAAAGAGTTTGTATAACAAACATTTTCAGCTTATTTTTTATAAACCTGCTTCAGGTTGAAATTATACAATTTGAAATTCCCAAATTGGAATGAAAATTTTTGAGTTATAAATCTAAAGAATTATAGCCTGTTCCAGAAACAATTTTTTATTAAACATTTCTGGCTATCTGAGTAGTCGTCCTTGGGATCAAACATTTATATAGTAGAATTCTTTAAATTTAAATTTTAATGTTCTTAGAAGTGTTCTAAATGTGAATCAATGATAAATTACTAAAAATAGCATAAAATAAAATACAAAAAATAATAAAGAAATCATAAAATACAATGTTCATAATAAATCACAAAACTATTGAATATAAACAATAGTAATTAGTGTATAGTTTTAACCTCATCTTTATAAAATACTTCCATGCTGTGGATAAGTAAGCAGCATCATTATGATTAATACTTGAGTTCTTAATACAGTGGATTGTTGATCTATCGTTCCTGTATCAATTGTTTTTTCACATCTATTAGTTGTTTTCTTTAGTCCCAAGTAAGGACCTATATTATATGTAATGTTAATTTTTGCTGTGTTCTCCCTGCATTGTTTGTTTTCCCACAATGTTTGTTCTGTATTTTAATTGAAAGAAAAATGTTATCTCGCATCAGTTTTACTTACAATGGAGGGTGCTAAATTGAAACACTGATTTTTGTGTACTAAAAATAAAAGCATGTCAAATTTGACTATAGTTAATCAGTTTTATTGTGATTTTTAGCTACTTTTTCTATACTGTTTTACAAAATACTGTACTTTGGCAACATTTCCTCTTAAAGCCTGGCAACACTGGTAAAAATTAGCATGTTGTCTCAGAGTTTCTATCTGTACAATAATTATCATATTTGTATGATTATTTTGGGCCCCATACAACTATGCCTTATTTTGAAAAATAACCATTAATTATTGAAAAAATTAATTTGCAATCTATTTTTATATGCCTTTCTTTTTCATTGATATTAGTGTTTTTTTTGCTAGTAGAGGACTACTAAATTTTTAGGAGTTTTTAGATTGACTATTACTGTACATCCTCGATTATAAGGTAGCACCTTTGTCATACTTTTTGAGATGGCTAACTGTTATATTTTTAGACCTACACTGATAAAATGCTCAAATTGATGTGAAAAGAAAGTTTGTGCAAATAAATGTTCTGTTGAAATGACATTATGCTTCTACTTGTACAAAATGTAATAAAATGTGTTAATTAGTACCTATAGAGTATAGTTTCCATCTAGTGAACCATCTAGAACTGAAACTTTTTTGGCATAGGGAGTTGTGACCACTTGTAGTGGACTAAAAATTTTAGATGGTTGCAAAAATTTGGAAAAATTAAGGTTTGTGTATATGAAATAAGTACGGTATATAAAGGAATGTGTTACATATTTGTTAATGTTTGGGATGCTGAAATTGTATGAAAAAAAACATAAATTTAGCTTATTCAGAGGTTTGTTTTGCATCATATGAGGGAGTGTCATGAAAACTTCTTCATTGTAAAATGTGTGTAAAATTTTTTTGTTGTAAGAAGAGATTGCAGATAAAAAGTTTACAAGATTCTGAAATAGGGCAAACCTTGTTAATATTTCTACAGATAAAAGATGTAAGTGTAAAGGATCAAGATGGATATACAATAATTTAAAGTGAAATCCGATAATTTCAAGGGGCAGATACAATGATTTCCTTTCATAAGATTAGCAATGTTGCATTATCTTGAGGTAGGGATCATATCTGGATAAGTGAGAAAAGTCAGAACTCTTTTCCGTAAAAGAATCAACACACAGTGAAATTATAAACTTTTGTCACTTACGAACATTTTCAACACTTCTACAGTATTATCTTCAAGTGTAAGAAAAGAGTCAATACATTTAGTATTCTTACCAAACGAAAATAGAAAAATTTCAGTATTCTTAACAATTTTTTAAAATGTAGAATAAATGAATGTGTCTGTACGTGATCCATATTGTTTAGTATTACAGAAAGTCATCATATAAGCCTATTACTGGAAAAATACACATTTCATAAGAGATAAACAATAAAAACATTGATGTCATAAATTTCATGTCAATCATTTTCCCTCAAGTTCATCAAAAACAATAGATCAAGAATCCAGTGTATTATGTTTGTGTATAGTATTTTTTTTATAGAGATTTCCTGTGTGTTGGTCTGTGATGGTTTTTAAGAGTTTAGTATTCTTGAAGTGAACATAATAGCCAATGTACATCTAAAAATTATCAAATTCACAAATGGAGATGCATATATAGTAACTTAGTGATTGAATAAGAAGCTGATTTATTTGGACTTTTTTTTTATAATTCCTATTGTTATTTGTTAAATTAAAATGAAATTAAAAATTTATAGGTATAAAAGAATATTTTCTGTGGGAACACTTGGAATTACTACATATAATCCTAGCACAATGGAAATTACGAATCAGGTGAGTAGTTTAAACTATAATTTAAAAATATTTGTATGTTACAGATAGAGAAATATGTTTATAATAGTAAGTCTTCATAATTTTAAATGAAAGTATAAACTACATTTTCAATTTAAGGTTCTTAACTTCCATTTATTTAGAAGGATTGAAAAGTGTTTTTTGAATTCCTTATATGCATTTTTATAATATATTTTTTATTTAATATTTTTGGAGATGAACTATCTATATGGTAAACAGTGCATGTGAAAAATCAAAGCTACCTTATATATATATATGGTGTCTTTTTGTATATGTGTGTGTGTGTATATATATATATGTGTGTGTGTGTAATTTTATTACAGTGGTCTCATTGACTCATTAACTCACTGATATGAAGTATATGATTAGAAACAGACTTCTAACAGAAAAATGAAATAGTAATTTCAAAAAAGTATGTTGAGTAAAATTATCAAAAATACATGAAATCTCAAAAAACAAACAATAAAAATTATTTATTGATGTAAACTTCAACCTTTGAGGTCTTTATAAGACCTCAGTGCCACAGTGTCAAAACAGTCAATAAAGTTCTATCTGGCTGTTTTATAAAGATATTTATCTTAAATTAATATTTTATTTTGTCCTGCCATTTATTATTATTTTATTAAGATTCTTAAGTATTTAGTTATTTAATCAATATAGAGATAAATATTCTTTATATAAAGAATAATTATAAATTGTAACATAGATATGGAAAGTATAAAGTTTTACAAAACATTGGAATTTGATGATTAGATTTAAAATGTAGTATTGATGTACAGTTGATGTAATGAAATAATTATAGCTTCAATAAATATCTAGTTCTTTATTATTTTGTCAGTTTGTTTACAAAGCTGATATTTGAGTGTGTTTAATCTGTTTATATTTATTTTATTTTAAATTATTTTTATTTTTTTGTATTTAGATGATAAAGGAATAACTGAAGTTTGTTAAGGTAATGATGATAAAAAAAGAACAAAAGCAATATATTTAAAAAAACACACACAAGTCATAAAATATCAGACATACTTATCATTTAGATGTATTTAAAAAAAAAGTTGTCAACATGTTGTTAGATTTAATTTTCAGAGTATAGAGTGTTTATTTATATATTTAGCCAATCATCTATTCTCAAAGATAGTTTTTGACTCAATGAATCTGGTGTTATTTGATTAATTTATATTTTACCTATAATGAAACTTGAACTATAGATAGGCACAATTGGTATCTTACAATTTATTTAAAAATCAATCTAGAGTAATTCTGGCAAAAAGCTGGTTTTTCATAACCAAATGTTTACCTTTTTGTGGCACATTTGATTCCCAAGTGATGATCAATTTTATTTCATTTTCTGCACTGATTAACTGTTTACTTCAACAACAGTTCTGAGCGTCAGTTCTTTAAGGAAAATCACAGGGACCTTATAAACAATATCTTTCCTGTATCACCACAAAAAGAAATCATATGACATAATATCAGATGAATATGGCAGATATGGATTAGTCTATACTACCATGCAAGCAAATATACTAGGACAAGCAAATGCATGTCAAGAAATTTCCGAGAAATAAACAATTTTCTAAATGATCATTTATGGTATATCTAACTACAAAAAAAGAATGACTAGTTGATTTTTGTGGACTTCAAGAAAACAGGTGAAGTGTTTGATCTTTCCATTCCTTTTTGATGTTTAATACTACTAGTTTCTTGAAATTCCTTTAACCAACATTGAATATCATTTGAAGGTGGATCTTTTCTGTACTGAGTTCTGTAATGACATTGTATTGTGATATCAAACTTTGTTTCAAAAAACCAAAATACACGCATTGCTTTCTCTTTAACAATATTATTTTGAAGTATGATGTCATATCTCTGAGATATTAATGCTATAAGTACAGCATTGTTAAATAAAACTTCTTGAGTTACACTTTTACTTTTTGATTAAACTAAATTATCATCTGGCGAAATTCTACAAATTTACACTTTCATATTCTGTAAGCAGTTTTGTTTTGTTTTTTTAGATGGAAAATTATAAGGCATGGAAACCTCAACAATAATTTAGAATTACCTTATAATCATACAGATAAGTCATACTAAGTTGGACTGAAGAAGGAATGTTCATTCTGAAGGAACATTCTGAAATGTTAAGAGTCTTGAATACTGATGGCATATCCAAGTTACCTAATGTTTGTCAGGTAGCATGGAATTCTGGGAAGACAACGAAGCATGGCAGATTGGGGTTAAAATTTCTATTTTCAAGAAAGGGAAGAGGAGTAAATGCTCTTGTGTCTTGGAATTCCAGCAGCTGGAATGGGAAACTACTGGAATTGCTGTTCTTGTGACAATCTTAGGATAGTGGAAATTGAAGATGATGATTGTTTATAGTTATCAATTATTGATCTATTCAAGCTTAGGTTTCAATAAAAATATCATAGTTTATGTAAATTTTTCAAAAATTTGAGAAATTTACTGTTAAATCTTTAAAAGTCTAGAATCATTGTCCTAGGATTTTGCATAAAGTAAATATAGGGATTTTTTTTTCTGTAATATTATTAAGCAATTTTAGTTTTTAAAAATGTTTTATATGTCCAATCAGTTGGAGAATAATTTTTTTTTAATATAATTTAAATGAGATAGCATATTGGTAAGAAATACATAAAATCTAAGAATTTCATATGTCTTAGTAAGAGAATTTTATCTAAATAATTCTGTATAATTAAATGTTACATTATGTATTTGTCTATTGATATTTGTTACTACTACTTTTAGATCAGAGTTCCGCAACCTTTTCCTACTTGTGGCACACCTCTGACTCGACATGACTCAACACGGCATACAAAAATGTTATTCCCCTCAAAAACATATGATATGATACTATTAGTAGAATTTCATAATGCCATAAATCTATTATTATTATTATGTTGAGTTTTGTGAGTTACACTCGGTTGACACCTATGGCTGTATATTACGCAGGACACAGCATAATAACCAAAACAAGGCAAAAATTAAATAAGTGTGTCAGTGTATGTCTGTATTCAGGAATTTCCTAACAATATGATATGTATTCAATATAGTGGCCTTCTGTAGCGTGATGTATGTGTTTCTATTCAATTTTAATGTTTACAGGCTTGTGTGAGCGTGTGTGGTATGACACCTGTAGAGGGTAAAACGAGAGGTATAATAAGAACCCTATCCATCCTCCATATATGCCTTATTTCCTTGGCGAGTTCTGTGTACTTGCTCATTTTTTCAGTGCATGTGTTTTGTACATTGTGAGTGTTTGGAACAGATGTCTATAATGTATGTGATTTTATTGTGTTTGTCAATGAGTGTGATGTCTGGTCTGTTGTGGTAAATTGTTTTATCTGTGATTATGGCTCTGTCGTAGTACATTTTGTGCGTGTTGTTTTCCAATACTGTGTGTGGAATGTATTTGTAGTATAGTTTGTGAATGTCTACTAGTTTGTGTTTCTTTGCAAGCTCTTGGTGTATTATATTTGCTACTTGATTGTGTCTGTGTAAATAATTTGTCTGTGCCAAGAGCTTGCAACCAGAAGTGATGTGTTGTCTAATTTCTGGCATGATGTGACATTTTCTGCATGTGTCATTTCACAAATGACACATGCAGAAAATGTGTATTTTGTGAAAAGTGTTGTATCTTTGAGTATGCATTTTCTGTAGTTTTTAGTATTATGACCTGATCCTGTATGGCAATCATGAATCCTTTCATCTCTCCAAAGAGGCATCCCGGAGCTAACCAGCTATTTGACGCTGTTTTGTTAACAAAATCCTGGGCCAGGTCGTAAGGATGTCTGCCATGGAGTGCCTTTTGAGCCCATGATTTTTTCTCCTTCCTTCTTTTTTTTCTTATTTTGGTTGATATGGAGATGCTAGCCATGTAGGCTCTTCCCACGATTGCTTTAATCTTTCTATGACAGATTTAGAATGATGTTTATGCTTAGTAAGTGTTGTTGTTTTCATTTGGAATTGTTCAAGATCTGTGTGAGTCCAATGTATAACTCCAAAAAAATAAGTGAGTACTGTGACGACATATGTGTTTATTGCTTTAACATCATCTTATTTCATCAGTGAATGAAATACAAGCATAATAAACACAACAACTGTGATAAAAATATATAAATAAAATTTGAGATTAATAGAATATGTAAAGTTCACGTCACACCTTTCACGTTGTGGCGGCACACCGGTTGCGGAACACTGTTTTAGATAATATCAATAAGGGTACATTTTATGTGCAAATAAAAGAAAACATATCTAATTTTTTAAAGGTTTATTAATAAACAATAATATAAATTTAGTTTTTACTTCATGATTTAATGTTTGAAATCTTATTAACTTAAAATGAAAATAATTGTTACATGATAATTAAAACATTATTTTATTTTTATAGTGGCCTTATAATGAATTTATTAGTATAGCACCTAATCTAAAAGGTCAAATAAGTAATGAATTTTTAATAACAATGAAAAAAGGAAAAAAGACAGATACTATGCGCTTTTCGTCTGATCACCGTCCAGATATTTTGACAGAGGCCTTGGTAAATATGACATCAAATATTAAAGTATTCATTAATTTTTTAACTTTAACTTAATAAAATTAATATTTCAGTTATAGTTTTATTAATTAATGTTGTACTTTTAAAATAGATTTTGCCTTAGCATATTCTATATATAAATTTTACTTCCAATTTTACTTCCAGTTTGTCCATACTTGAATATGAACTACATTTATATTTTACATAATTTAGAAGCTTATTTAATATAGATTAACCTTATTGCATCTGTTTTACTGTTAAATTTCATTTAAAATAATCAGAAGCAAAATTATGTCCAATTTTGCTTTTGCTGTAGTGACACTTTCCTACTATATACACCCACAACTACCATAAATGATCAGCCTAAATTTGGATATAATAATTATAAATGAATATGGCACTAGAGTTAGGTGCCATCTCATATTAAAAGTAATAATTATAATATTTAATTAATTAATTTAGATAAACTGGAAGAAAAGAATCTGCCCGAAGCAGGACTCGAACCCACTACCCACTTACTATGAATTGTCAGTTACGCTACCTGGACCTTCGGTCCAATCTCCTCTTTCAGTATATATAAGTTTAAGATATAACCATCGATGGTTATTACAGTGCCAACTGGGGAAGCATTCGTGCCCTTGGTCAGAAACATCCACTCAAGGCACTCAGTTGGCCATCCCAACTCTGGCAAAGTATAGATATACAAATATACACACCAATCAAAACCTGATATTATGCAAATATACACCCACAACTGCTGTAAATGATCGGGCTAAATTTGGATATAATGATTATAAATTAGAAATGAATTTATGAGATGGTACCTAATGCCTTACTCTAGTGCCAAATTCATTTCTAATTTGGTACTAGAGTTGGGTGTTAGGTGCACTAAGTTTAATTAATTAGTAATAACAGTTTTTGTAGATAGCCTTCTTTAATTCTTCTATTTTTTAACAAGATGAAACACTTTGGATTTATATATAAAAAGCCATATTTTAATTAATGCAAAATACTTTTAATTGTCAGATTTCAAAATATTAGATTGTGAAGGTGAAATTTATACATTTTGATTTTTTAGAAATGGCTGAAAAAAAATTCTAGAACATCCAATGTGTATATAAATAGAATAACTAAATTGTATTTCATTATATTTAATTTGAAATAGACACATCAGCAATGTCTGACAATATGAAACTTTTGAAATAACACATTTGCATGCTGTGTTCTATCACTTCAAAAATGGCCACAATACAATGAAAGTTCATAATCTCATCTGCAAGGCTTTCGGTGAGTACACTGTCAATGGACAGACTTTCTACAATTGAAGAAATTCAAGGATGTAGATTTTTGGCTTCAAGATGAACTCCATTCAGGCAGTGATTTCACAATTGATGATGACATTCTTCTACAACTGATAGATGATAATCCATGGTTGACCACCAGAGAATTAGCAAACTTGAATACAGTAGAGCGTCATTTATCCGAAAGTCGGTTATTCGAAAGCATTCCAGTCGGCAAATTTAAATTTCCACTAGTGCTGTGGTGCTGCAATCTTTGGCTATATCTTGGGCTACTCTAATAATTTTTTTTTGTTGGTGTGTGTTTTTAGCTGTCAGCACTGGCACTTTTGTGTGGTGTTTTTCTGAGGATTGTGTGTTGTGTTAAATCGAATGTTTTTGATACTAGATCATCTTCTAAAGTATATATTTTTTGGTTTTTATATTTTTCAATATATTTATTTTGTTTGTAAGAAATAAAGAAATCATTTTTAACGATACAATAGCCATGATTATTATTTTAAAAAGTATATTTTAGGCTTAACATCGACAAAAATTCAATGCGAAGTGACATGCAATGGAGAAAAATTTTAACACAGGATAGGTTAATATATTTTTTCGTACACAATCGATCATCTGAAAAATAAGTTATCCGAACAACTTCAGTCCCCAATTGATTCGGATAAACGACACTTTACTGTATTCTCATAAAAATTGACAGTCTGATACCACCAAGACAATGTGTCATCACATAAAGCAAAAATAATCGAGAAGGTGGCCAGTCTGGGTTGGGAAGGTCTGCATTATCCAACTTACAGCCCAGACTTAGTGTCAACTTATTATCTGTTTTGCATCCTTCAGAACCATTTTGCTAATACGGTTATGACAATGACAATATCCGTGTGAGAACAATGCTTGAGATTTTCTTCAAAGAAAAACCCTGGTCATTTTAGCCTCACAAGATTGAAAGTTTGCAGCAAAGTGGCAAGATGTGATTGATGTTGGTGATTACCTATCAGGCTGAAGTGTAATCTTTGTTGAGTTAATTGTCAATACATTGTTTTTTCAAAAAATCTGAATTTTACCTTTACAACCCAATGATTTATACAATTTGAAAATAAAACAAAATGAGAAATTTTTTTTGAAGAATTAAATCCTTTTTCAGAAATTTTGCATGAAGACATTTGAAATGAAATAAAAGTAAAATTTCTGTTTTAAGAATCAAATCTTCCTTTAAAAATTATATTCTATAAATTTAAAAAGAAATTGTGAAAATACCTATTGCTAACTAAATTTGATTTCTTAAATATAAATGTAGTGTTTTGTTTTGTTAACTTTTTCTAAAGTCTTTTGTTTTAAGAAATTTTATATTAAAAAAAAAAACAGGTCTTAAAATTTATTTATAAATTTAGATATGTTTATTTCTTTAATTTTTGATATTAACAGAATAAAACTGATTTTTTTGGATATTATCACTTAAGAAATTTTTTTTATATAGATTAAATTATATAAATTTTTTATTTTCACAGAAATTTAGACATCAATTTGCAGAACCTCCATCCACAATTCTTGTAAGTTCAGTTTTTTATACAAAGTAATAGTATTAGAAATTTTACAATAGCTTTAATATAAATGAATCCAATAATATCTAAATATATTTACATAACCCTGATATGTTTTTTTTATTAAAAGAGAAATTGGATGTTATACATTGAAATATTGTGTTGATTGATAAATTAACATATCATACAATGCTATTTTACTTTTGTTATGAGACTCATTTTTAAAAGTGAGCAGTTTTGCAGCAGTATTTTTCTATTTGAATGGATTGTTTAGTTTTGCTTTGTATAATTTTAAAATAAGAGCATCTAAAGAAAAATAAGTGTATATTAATAGCTTGCATATTATCAAAGAGAAGATTTCTTTCTAAATTGAAATTACAGCTTTTAAATTATTTATTTCAGTAAATTTCTGATGATTTAAGAACTTTCTAAGATTGTTTTAATTCAATGAAAGTTTATAATTTTTATTTTAGATTACTCTTAAATATAATTTTTCTATATTTTTATTCATATAATTAAAATTATTAAAAGTTGAAAATCATCTAATTAACTTTATCCATATATATGGACAAAGTCAATTAGATGATTTTCAACTTTTAATAATTTATATTATTATAAATATAAATTTATATTATTATAAATAATATATAATTTATTAAATTAAAACATGCAGTTGAAATACTTGATTTTAGACTTGTTTGTATTTTTTTTAATACAGTGGTGCCTCGTATAACGTACTTAATCCGTTCCAAGTGCACATCCGTTAAGTGAAAAGTCCATTAAACGAAATGCATTTTCCCATAGAAATACATGTTAAAACATATAATTTGTTTTGTAGCATAAAATAATCATACTGTACCATAAAAAAAATGAAAATGGAGCAGTCACCAATTATGCCGGGTAGTGAGATGTTGTGAGGAGGAGGTGGAGGAACACTTTATTCACACATTCATACAGATAGACTTTTTACACATTGCAGCAGGTCTCTTTTTATTGTTTTTTAATCGGAGTCAGATTCAGGAAAGGCTACCGGGACTTGCAGGGTCAACTCCTCTTGTTCCATCCTTTGTTTATTGCCTGCTGGTTTCTTAAAAAACACGTCCAAGGTGGTCTGTTTCTCTCTCTTTTTCAACACCTGTCGGAAATGACTGGCAAGGGTGTCATTGTAGAGATCATTGATCCTGTTGGCCTCAGCTCTGTTTGGGTAATGAGTGTTGGTAAACTCCTGAACCTCTCCCCATTTGACAAAGAAGTTTTTGTCAACTTTCACTCCTTCTAATGATTTCTTGCATTGTTTCAATTGAAATCACCTTTCTGTTTTTTTTAGAAGCCATGATTTGCACAACACTTGAATAAATGTAAATACCCTGTGCTGAGGTGATGTACGTAATAAACAAGGGAGCAAGCCGAATCCCAATAGGAGCTCTGTACTACAGATATACTAATAATATATTCTAATAATACTAATATATTATAAAAATAGCAGATTGTCATGGCAATGGCAAAAGAGTGGAAACATCATTTGCACTTGTTTGCAGAAAGTTTGTTGTTCGCCTCCCGTAACTACCGAATGGAAAGTCTGTTGTTCGCAACCAGTTCATTGCTCGAGTCACGTAACAGCCAAACAGAAAGTCCATTGTTTGCAGCGTCCATTATTTGAGGCGTATTTTATACGAGGCACCACTGTATATTTAATTTTAATAGTTTTTTTTAATAGAACAAATATGAAAAAAGATTTAAACAAGTTTCAATATCTAAATTATTAAAAATATTTTTTCTGTTAGTGTGTGATAGTAAAAAAACTTTCAATGAGTTGCATAACTTCCCAAACTGTTACAAGATTTTATTTTAAAAATTACTTTTATATTACTGATAAAATTAATAAAATTGTGAGAGACATCATCTGTTATGAGGTTTTGTTATAAAAGTATTTTTATATTTTTAATTATTATTGAATGACAAAAAGCATAATTCTGAGGGTAGTGATGAGTCTTATAAAAAATTGTAAATGCTAATAATGAACAACATTTTCATTAAGTCCAACCCCTCGTGAGATATGACACATCACACCACATTATCTCCTCACTCCTTTGACCATTAACCAACAAAATTTATTAGCATCAATGTCCCTTATATACAAGTTACCATGCCAAATTTTGTTTTTTCATCTGTAATACGTTAACCACCATTCGACATGCCTGCAGTCATATTAATTAAGGCCATACAGAGCTATCCGACTGCTCGACGTTGCTATAAGAAATGTAGTTTCACTCAAGGTTAAATTATCCTAGCTTTGTAAGATGTTGTTTTACATCCTAGTGGTGGCCTCTCACGGATATCTATAAAGTTGGCTCCAACCGTCAGCCATCGTATGGCCTCATGAAGTGGTTCGATGGCTTGCAGGCGTAGTGTTTTTTAATAAAAATCTATTTTATATCTGATAGTTTTTTTTTAATAGTAAATAGTTAAAAATATTGAAAACTAGTTTAATTATTTTCTTTTATCGCATATAAAGTAAATAATATTACAAAAAGAAATCAAAGTATATAAGTGAAAAATAATATATATTTACAGAAAAAATCATGTGCAGTCCAAACAAATTGTAAAATACTTTTAACGCATAGATGTAAAAANATATTTATTTCATTTCAGCATTTATTCATCACTGGAACCTCCATCCACAATTCTTGTAAGTTCAGTTTTTTATACAAAGTAATAGTATTAGAAATTTTACAATAGCTTTAATATAAATGAATCCAATAATATCTAAATATATTTACATAACCCTGATATGTTTTTTTTATTAAAAGAGAAATTGGATGTTATACATTGAAATATTGTGTTGATTGATAAATTAACATATCATACAATGCTATTTTACTTTTGTTATGAGACTCATTTTTAAAAGTGAGCAGTTTTGCAGCAGTATTTTTCTATTTGAATGGATTGTTTAGTTTTGCTTTGTATAATTTTAAAATAAGAGCATCTAAAGAAAAATAAGTGTATATTAATAGCTTGCATATTATCAAAGAGAAGATTTCTTTCTAAATTGAAATTACAGCTTTTAAATTATTTATTTCAGTAAATTTCTGATGATTTAAGAACTTTCTAAGATTGTTTTAATTCA